GTGTGTGTGTGTGTGTGTGTGTGTGTGTGTGTGTGTGTGTAGGAAACTAGTAACAATAACGCTGTCAGTCGGTCAAGCAGGTTTGACCCGATAATAAAAAGAATCACGTTTCCAGAGGGTGAGATTTCCAATCCGACACACTTGTTTGTTCCTACACTTTATTCACTGCGAAGATCCGTAATCTCACAGACGATTCCGAACGCCAAACGCTCATACAAACTGACTCAGATCGGGGAGGCAGCCTTGTTTTTAACACAGACACACACAAAATGAAGGCGTTTGAGTTGATGGGGCATGGATCACAAGCAAGCAAGCAAGCAAGCAAGCATGAACGAGACAAAAATGCAAAATATGAAACGTGTTTGTGAACAGGACGGACCATTTTCACATTGCCACCGAGTACAACTCGCGTGGGAATTAGCCAGATTGGCATGATGGTCAATTCGCGCTAGGGTCACCTGACCGATCAGTGTATTATCTAATAAAACTATGAATGAGGTTTGATGTTCACACGGCAACCTCAATAATGTGTGTGTATGTGCTTATCGGAACGCACACATGCATGGACCTGAGCACACAAAATTCAATATGTATACAAAAGCGAGATGTTGAACGGTCGCAGAGACCGGGTTATGGTGAGTCACATCGATGGCAAAAGCGAAAATTGCATACACTGTTAAGATTAGATCATTCTCATGGAATTAGTGGGTTCCCGACACATTAACGACGTTCTAATGAAGCTGGCCGGTTCCACATGAAGATCCTCAACCCAAATTAGACTGATTACATGGTTTTGTGGTGAAGCCTTTCATTAACCCCAAGTGTTAAAAATCAGTGTCCATGATTTTCAGTTTGCCAGGTTTGGTGCCTTCTGTTTATTTGTATTTGTCTATTTCCCTAAGAGCTATGATTATAAAGAGATTATATGGGAATATCAGATAAGAAAGAGTCCTGATAAAGAATGGTTTGTGGATAATCGATTTTACCAAATATGGTCATACATAATTTCAATTGTGCATTGTTTCCCTCGCTCGAGACTCCTTTTCTGTTGTTTCTTTGTTGTTCCACAAGTGCGTGCTGATGATTGGAGGACAGCAACAGTCCTTCAACTCAACAGTGTTTTCAATCTCACTATACTTCCCCTTCCTCCCAAAAACCACTTCAAAATTTACTCCTTTTCTCAGAATCCTGATGCTGATACACACAACTATGAACTGTCTGAAACGGACGGGACAAAGGAGGATCCAGTCTCACTGACGGATGTGCTCAAAACTCTAATCTGTCGACTCATCAGGCAGTCAAGGGACCATCCAAAGGGACAGTGTGTTACCTCCCCAATTCGGACTGACAGATGTCATTTCATGATGTTCCAAGGACCGGGGTCAGACAGTGATTCATAAGCACACACAGAAGAGCAAACAAACAGGTCTGCTTTTAAGAAGTTCCTCAGAGCTGTCACAGTCTAGAGAGTATCTTAAGGTCAAAAGGGTCATTAAACCCGGAGAAGATTTTGCTCAATTCGCAAGTTGTCCGCAATCGTGGAATAAATCTATTGAGCATGCCATAAAACAAGTGGTCCACAGAGATGTTTTGCTTCCATTTCAAAGTGAACATGAATACTTTTCCTATGAATCAATCACGTGACCTGTGCTATGTTTCACATCACAAGGAGCTTTGCTAAATGAAGCAAAACTACATGGATACTATATTGATTGTTCCGTTTTGTCGTTCTAATCGTCTACCATTAAAAGTAGTTCCACGTCCAGATTCCTATTTCTATTTCGTGATTCACATACTGTTTACACAAACTGCTTCTTCAGCCAGCCAGTCAACCAGTCAGTCAGTCACTCCGTGCATTCACTCGCTGGCTGATGCTTCCAATACTGTGGAGAACAAGTGCAAAACAAATCAGACACCGAGATGTTTTCACATCCGAAAATACAGAAATTGCACATCTGAATAAATAATGTTGCAATGAATGATGGAAACGAAGAGCTGCATATGTTGTCGTCTGTCTTTTTATGTGTTTTGTAAATCTCGAAAGGTGTCTGCATGTGTGTGTGTGTGTGTGTGTGTGTGTGTGTGTGTGTGTGTGTGCATATGTGAAGTTGATCCAACTTAAGATGTAGATCTGTACTGACCCAAAAAATCGGCAGAGGGTATGGCGCACCTGGGGTTTTTTTACAGAGATATTCCTCACTTGGCGGAAATTGTCATTGATGTCTGTTGTCTTATTTAATCTGTACTCAATTATTGAAAAATCATAAAAAGTTTTAATTGCAAAGGAGATGTATTTGTGCCGTGCATGCCCAATCATTCTATAGGACGGGGAAACAAATACAGGTCATCTTCACTATGCCCCAACTTGATTTCCTTTAGTTCTTTATTTATTTATTGATCACAATAGTAAAACCAGTTTCAGAAGGATGTCTACCATCAGAGGCTGCTTGGGGACACAAAGGAGTGGTCAAGTTGATGAATACAGCTTCCAGGTAGAAGTAACATTAAAGCGTATCTCTTCTATCAGACAAACCCTGGAATTATAAAAAGCGTTGGAATTTTTCGTTGAAAAGTATGTTCAAACTACTTGAACGTACTTCTATTTCTCCGCAGCGCTGGCAGCATGAATAGGTATTAACCAATACTAGGAAAATAAAACCATTGTGAATCGAATGATATGTTCCTAGTGTTGGTGACATAAGTGACCAGTTGGGGCGCAGGGTTGAGTGTAGTCGAGTTTGTTCATGATGCCTATCATGGAAGAATCGCACCCCTCTGTCTGAACGGCAAGTTAAAGGCAGCGTGCAGTGTTTGGAATAAACCTGACTCTGCATAATACAAGGTTTCTGGGTTTTGGTATATAGGGCAGTCAATATCCACTATGTCCTCCGATCGGTATGCACACACATCACCCCAAACCGTTTGATAGAACTGTCGTTTCATTATCTGTACCCCATGTTCCTATTCACCTTTGAGTTACTTTTTGTCGAGAAAAGGAACTATGTGCAAGACACAAAACCGCACCTTTGTTTATGTTCCCAAGCCCGGCTACCCAACAAAATATGAAGTGTGCGAGAGGTGACCTTCATGAAATACGACAATAATTGCACCCGATAAAAAGCGGATTAGGCATGACAAAACAACACATGCATACACGCACGCACTACAGACGCACACCTGTACGTTTGCTCGCACGTGTGTGCGCGCACACATAGCTTTCCTTTTTCCGGTTAATTCCCACACATTGTTTCAATGTCGGATTAGGAATGCGTGCGAGACACGGAACGATAGACAAATGATTAGGTAATGTATTGGAACAGTCACTTTGAGTTCGGGCTGTGCATGTGTGTCTTCGTGCTCCTCTGTGTGAGCATATGTTATGGTTCATGTATGGTGCTGACGGGGAGAGGAGGGGAAAGGCATGGGATGATGGCGACAACAAACAGACAGAGCAACAACTCGCCCGACAGTCACATCATTAGGACCTCTTTGTACTCGGTTCATCATCAAACTATAGGAACACAAATCTTTTAATCAATCATAAGCAAGAAAGGAGACATTTTGTTAAGCGAATCGATCGATCAGTTCCCTACGGAACATGTAGCCCATCTCACCTCCTCCCCCCTTGTGCGAGCCCAACAACCTGTCTGACAATAAACCAAATTAGCCTACCCCCATTTCGTACAGATCGAATTGCGTCTACGTTGCGAGCATAAAGTTTTCTTTTTCCCTATCCACTACAATACCATTGGATATCGCAGAAAATAAATTTCCGTCAACACCTATTGGCTCTTTCCGGTCGGAGGCGAACGTATTGGATGATTTGTCGTTGACAGGGTAATTTTTTTGGAATGGGAAGCTAGTGAGCTAGTGATTACGCTGAAAATATAGAGAACTTGACTGTCAATCGTAACATGTTGAACATACTGTCAATCTTGGGAATTTCAATAAAATGTTTAGAAAATTCATGATAT